TTTTTTTTTTTTTTTTTTTTTGGTTGGTTGGTTTTTTGTTTGTTTAGGGTTTTTTATTTTTTATTTGAAAGGTTTTCCTGTGTATTCTCACATGCAGTTCATGTGAAGTCACTTCTCTCTTTCCATAGAAGAGGAACATAATTTGTATTATGCAAGAGAGAATAAAGGTAATGTTCCCTGAGAACCTTACCTTGGAAAAAAATTAAATGTCTTAGCCTCACATTTTGATGATAAGTAGTTATAGTCAGCTAAGCCTCTTGCAAAACTGCATTTGATTCTCAGCTTTTTTAATTAATTTTCAGTGCTTTTAGTTTTCCTTAGGCTGCTGTAATTTCCCCATAGTGAGACTGATTAGGACACTGGTCAGCATAGTGAGATAGTGTGCACACCTGTCCTTCCCCATTCTCAGCCTGCCCCTTGCAGAATGGAGGAAGGTGGTGTGCAGAGACACAGCCACAACACTGTCCTTCCAACCCAGAGCTCCAGAGCTCTGCCCCTTCTTCCACTCCTACCAAAAGCCTCTTTGTACTTGTTGGCTCATGAGCAGAATAAAATAAAAATCTGTTTTTTCTCTCCTGAGCACCAGAGACCATCAGAGAAGTGAGTTTATTACAGGGAATAAGAAATGGGCTTCTCTTCTTCCTCTTGATGCCTAGAGGTTAGAATGGGATCACCTGCTGGAAACATTGGAGTTGTGGTATAGGATCATGTCTTCTAAAATTCACTGTGGAGTTTGTAGAGATTCTAAAGCTGTTTTGCTGACTTTGTTCTTTCTCCTGTCTGAAAGCATTTTTTTTTTCTTTTTTCTTTTTTTTTTTCATTTGAAATGTGACTGAGAGCATCACTGATTCACTCCATTGCATTTCTAAATTTTGTTTGGCAAGGTCAATGCAGTTTGGGAAACAGAAATTCTACAGCTGCTTTGCTCATTGTCTCTCTGCAGTGATCATAGTCCCTAGTGAATATACAGCCTGAGCAGTAACTAAGCATAACACAGAAATGGATCCTGCCCAATGGTGCTATGCTTAGTTCCTGTTCCTTAGTTCCTGTTAGACTGTAGTTACTTGCAAAGTTTGTTTCATACAAATCTCTGGGGGTTGCTAGGATGGTTTTGCATCCAGGACATTGGTCCAAATATTAATATTGAAGCATTTTTGCTACTAAAAACAAAATGTTTCCTACAGGGCTCAAGGTGGTGCAAGTCTACCAGCCCTGGAGGCCATGTTCCGGTTTGGAGTTTTTCTCTCAGGTACTGAGTTAGATCGCTGTGCTGCTCCATATGTGTCCCAACTCTTGCCACCCTTTCCTAGGAACTAGTGGCAGTGACAGCAGCTTTAACAGGGCACTGTCAACTATTTGGAAATGTGACCAGCTCTTTGGGCTGTTTGCTGTCTGATCATCCATCCCCGCCAAGACACACTACCAAAACTTGGCCATACAAATCCCACAAAACCATCTACTTTTCACCCTGGATATTAAACTTGGAGAAAATAAAGCATATGCACATTCCTGAGGAAATAAATTCTGAGAAGCTAAATTTGCAGCTGAATTTCCTATTTCACATTCTTTTCTCCTTTTAAATCAAGACATGAATCTTATGATATGTACTCTGTGTGCATGGTGATCCTTGCTATTGCATCCCATAACAGGAGGAGGGAGGGGAAGTGTTCTTGTATTTGCTCTGCTCTGTAGTCTTCTTTGCTTTGCCAAAATTTCTTCTTTGACATTTTTTCTGTGTCTGGCTCATTGAAGCCATGCATTTGTTTTCTATTAGTTGCCTCAGTTAATATGATGAGTTTCTTTATTAGTCTTTTTAAATACTACATTTTAAATGAAAAAATGCACTCATTCAGTGGTCTGATAAACTGGTGTTATTTGCCTCATGTCCTTCTTTTCTCTCATTTTCCTTCTTTTTCTCTTTGACTCACATGTTTGGGCTAGCTTTGCTCATGCGTACATCATGTAATGTGTTTTCATGTGTGTGGTACTGCACACAGAAACCCCCAGTGTGAGCCCAAGTCTGCCGTGAGCCCTGCCCAGCTCACCTGTGTAATGGGAACAGCTCACTGGAGGTACAGGGACAAGGTGGTGAAAAGAGCAAAGGGTGGTTAAGAAGCACTAACATTTTTTAAATATCTGTCTTGGCTGGTTGATTCACTCACTTACCATCTATCTATGTTTTCCACATCTGTTCTGGGCTTTTTCTCCTCTGACAGAAGGAAGTAGAAATAAAAAAGTGCACATGAGAATAGATATTGAGAAGTAACACTGAAGTAAGATTTTTCAAGTGCTTTTTGTGTCCTATAAACCCACCACAGAAGTAGGGCCATAGGATCAAATCTCCCAAACTTAATATTATAACACTTCCTCTATCAAACCCCTAATTTTTCCTCTTTTCCCTTAGTAAATATTTAAGCAAATAGATAAGTCTTGACCACCCAGCATACACTGGCAGAGAAATTTAAAAGTTACATTGTCGTTATGGCTGCATTTTCTAAAATGTCTTTTCTCTGCCAGCACTTTTGGTCGTAAGTCCTCTTACATAAATTCTGCAGTCACAATTGTGCCTTGAATCTGTACTAGTCATGACAGGGGAGGTGATTTCTACCACACTGAGTGGTTTTATATTTCAAAGTACAGTTACAATCAGTAAATATTTATTGGGGTGAGGTAGCCAGAGAGACTATGCTGGGATGGGTGTTTCAATTAATTCTGAAATGTTCTAACTGCATTAATGTACTGCTTCTTTTTTCAATGTACTTTCCCATCTCAGAAAGTGATGAACCGAGGGATTAATATTTGTTCTGTCTAAACACCTTTTTAAAATTCCAGTTTGAACCATTTTCTCAATCTTGTGCCTTTGCCTTTTCTCTGTGTTCCTTCAAAGAGGGAAAGAATCCCCAGGCTGACATATTAGCCAGGGAGTTTTGTCTCTCTAACAGAGAGGTCAAAAAATGTGAAGTGGCTTCTGAACTTGGACATACAAAAGCTCCCTGCATTGAATGGCTGCTTTACATGTAGGTTTTGAAGAGGGAATTGCATCTCCCAGCACTCTGGTGAGGCTTTTTAATACATTAATTGATGGGCAGAGGGAAAGCCAGGCTTGAGTTCACAGAGGAGTAATTTAGTAGGAAATCGAAGTCTCCCAAGAAAGAATTTTAACACTCTTTATCCTCCTCCCAAAGATATTTACTTTCCCAGTTATCCTCGCCTCTTGGGAAGTTTTTTACCTGTGATCAGCAGCAGTTTGATGTCCTTGGATATGCCATGTTGCTGTCCGTATCTTGAGTGCATGGGAGAACTGACTGCAATCCCCAGATAAGCACCCCTGTACTTGCCTGGCCTCAATGCCTGTTCAGAGGCAGCTCTTGGCAGGAGCCTGCCTATGTTGTGATTCACTGCCCAGATTATTGGCGCAAATTGAGGCAGCTGAGGTTAACTCACAGAAACTTGAACTGGAGCAGATGAAATGCTGGCCTGCATCTTGCCCTATGGCTGCAGGGCAGCAATCCTTGTGGAGGAGCAGCAGAAAGCTGTGAGATGTGGTAACTGTAAATGAGACTCATAGTACTGTAGATTTAATTAGCATATGCAGTTTGATAACCAAGATGCCTTGGCAAGAGCAAACAGAGCTTTGAAGATTACAAGAACATTGGATCAAGTATGACTGACAGGAAAGAAGATTTAACTGAGTAGAAATGTTGTTTGTCTGTGTGATGTTTAACTAAATGAATGTAGTAAAAAATTACTAGCCTTCCTGAAAATGGTATATAAGCATATGTAGCTCCCAGTAAAATTCAGATTCTGATCATGCATCAGTAGTCCCCATTTCTGTCTCAACATTTGATAGTGAGAAGCAAGTCATGCACTGCTGTCAGGATGGCTAGGCATCCTCTCTGAACACATTTTTCTGCTCTAGTTTAATCTCTGTGGTGCTCAGGTCATTGTCCTTTTACTCACTGAGAGGAGATTCAATGCATTTCCCCATCCTCAACCTTTCCACTTTGCTGTTTATTCCTCGCTTCATGATTAACTGTGTTTGAAATTGGACACAGAGACATGTACGAGTGGAAAACCAAAGAAGTCCCAGACTGTGCTGTTACTATTAATGGCAGGGCTAGCAGCCAGCGAGTTCGCTTGGTTATGCCAAACGCAGATCAGATGGTACAAACCCTGACAATTCAGTATAATTTTCTGAATAAATTATTCAAAGACAGCATTTTGCATGAAAAGAATAACTTTCTTTAGCTATTGAGCAAACACAGAACATCTGCCTAATATATACATCCCAGAAAATGTAGGCAGAAAATGTTCATTTTGGAACCTAGTGGATGAAATTTTGTCCCTTTAGAGTAAATGAGAGATTTGCCATTGATTCCAGTCAGGCAGGCATTTTACCCGATACTTTTTACATATGTTTTTATATATTATGATAATTCATGAATGAACTAAAATAGTCCTGTAGAGAATTGTCTTGGGGTGACTGTATGATGCCTGTATCCCCAAACCATCTGTTCGGTTGGTGTTGAATGCTGAATTCTGCAGCTTTAAGACTGGTTCCAGGAGTGAAGGGGGGGAAGGAAGAAGTGCAGAGTTTGTTATCAAAAACTGCACTCGCTCCGTGGCATTCCTGCTCACAGACTGTGCTGTCTGCAGTGAACAGTGGGAAAGAGCTCTCGCTTTACTTTTAGTTAGGTTTTCTGGCTAGTTGAAGCAGAAAAGCTCCATGAACTGTGTTGATTTTTTCCCTTTTTTTTCTGGAACTGTTTGAACCTACTCTAGACTGAAAACCCGGAAAAGCACTGAAAGCTCACGCCTGTGGCTCACCAGGCCTGGCCTGGGCGGCAGCATTTCCCAGCACCTAAAGAACTAGTACTAGACTAGGTGAACCAGGCAACCCACAAAAAAACCTCTTCTAAATCTGTCATCTCTTTGGAGCAGCGAGAGGTTTTGCTGTTTAGTATTGTTCATTTTTGAGCTGGGAAGTGTTTTGCCTGTTAAATAAACAGCTTTTCTTTTTCCACTTCTCTCCGAAATAATATTTTTCCCCAAACCAATTGAAAAAAAACCTGCTTAAATCTGTTTCATAGAGGGACCCCATTCAGAGGTTTCCTCCCAAATTTGCTCTTAAATCAGGACAAGAATATATGAGGATTTTTCTTTTCTGGCTTAGGGGTAGTAGTCTTCATTTATATTGGGGTCCTTGGAAAGAAATATGTATGAGAAAGTCTTTACTACATTAACAATACATACTTCAACTCTGTTTTGTGTAATCCCTCAACAGCAGCATTGCACAGAGTTAGCTGAGAAAGGAACACAGATGGGAAGAAAATGTTTGAAACCAGATCTGAAGGAGGCTGAGGTGATATTGTCTGGATGGGGGTTGTAATCAGCAGAGAAAGCAAAGTATTTTGCCCTTTGAGGGTGTCTGTCTTAGATTGTTCCAAAGGCCTAGTTGGGCTTCCAACCTCATTCTGGCTGGATTTCTAAGTGCTCAAGAAATCATTAGTAACTAGAAGAATTTTGGGGAGTTTATTTGTTTGTTACCTGGCCTGGGGAGATTCTGAAGAATCCTTGTGAACACAGACCTTGTCATTTCAGCCAGGCTTCTGCCTCCCAGCATCAGGTTCCTTCAACATGCTCCTTATGAAGATGCCTCTTCTACCTGATGAGAAATTATACTCATGGACATTAAGAGTGGGTTTTATCTCCTGTGAATGCACGATGCTTATGCTCCACAGTCTGCTTTGGCCACCTCTAGCCTAAATTTGAATATGTTAGTTTTGGCCCGGGAAGTTCCAGCAGTCCAAGGGAGCTTGTCCTTTCGTGGCTCAGCCACCAGTTGGTGCTGGCCCATAGTCTGGAAGGCTGCTAATGTAAGAGAGAAAAGGTTTAGCTGGAGACCTATTTTCTGTTCAAGATCTTTGACTTGGAAACTTCCATTCTTGTCCTGGTCAGAACATCTCCAGGGGATTAATGAGTGGTTTGGAACTTAGGGAAGGAGAGCAAGAGGATGACGTTAATGCCATGGTATTTTCTGTTGCAGGACTGTGATTGGCAGGTAACTGGGGGTAATCCTCCATTATTGTAACTGCCTTTAGCTTAAATATGCAGTGAAGTGACCACCTAGAGAAAATAAAACAATAGCTAATATAAAGCCCATGTGAATCAGAGCATGAGCAGATATTACAAATAATTGGTAGGACAAAAATGTTGGTGATGCTGTTGGCTGCAGAGCAGAGAAGTCCTAAACTTCTTCTGAGAGATCTGCTTTGCCCAGCTCAGGTGTGAAAGCAGTAGTGCTGTTTGGATGGTATTGTGTGCAAGTAAGTTTGTCTTTTCAGAGCAATCTGGGTTTCTTCCTGTTGCTGTGGTATGACTAATCCCAGCCACGATAATTTGCTTCCACGTAGCTGAGAGACATCTGTATTTCCAAGTGGATCTTACAATTATGACTACATGGTGGTTACTGCAATTAAAAAGGTGTGGTTTAAATTAAAAGATTATTTAAGAGCTCATTGCTAAAGGCTTGCATCTGTTTACCATCCTAACAGTGCATAGTTTGGATTTTTCATTTCCCTGGTACACTACTGAATTCTATCTGGTAGTTCTGCTATAGCCCTCTCCCTTTAATCTAGGCAATAATGGCATAAAGTTGTTGCAGTGAATAAAAATTTCAGATAAATGCTTTAGTGTTCAAGCAAAGAAGCCTATGGGAATATTTCAATTCATTGTGATTTCCTTTAAATATTATCTTGGCCACAAAATACTATTATTTGTCCTTGCAATATGATTTTTTTCTGGAAAGCTTTTAACTTAAATGCTCTTGTATCATATTGTAATGTAATAAATTTTTGTGGTTTGGCTGATGTTCTGGTTTAAGCCTGTTCTAAAACAGAAGGAAGAAAAGTAGCCTAAAATAGCAATTAGAAGAGAGATTTGAGGGTTATGAATTATTTTCTATTTCTGTCACTAGCTTAGGTCTCAGCTCACCATACCTTGAAGTTGAAGGAAATGTTTTATTGATTTCAGTAGATCTTGGTTCAGGTGCATTTAGTCTGACCTTGGACAAGTCAGGTGCCTTCTGTGCTTGGGACTGAAAAGGACATGTTCTGCTTACCCCTCCAACGGATCACTATATAGCTTCATTTGTTCACATCTATAGAGAGCTTTAGGGCTTGTAAATGAATGCCACTTTCTAAAGTACAAACTATTATTTCGATGTAGGTTAATTCATTTTACCTTCCCACCAGCTGCCAGCAATGTTTAGTGCAATGAAATTCTGACAGCCTGTGTCAACAACTGAAAGCAGCTCATTTATGACAGACAGAAAAAAGGATAAAATGCAGACCTGAACTCTTTCCCAGCACAGAATGCCTTTGTGTACGAAAATAAAAATTTTGTCTGTCCTTTCAAAAGGCCATCTCATAAAAGAAATGCACGTTAAATTAAAACTGCTGTTATTTTTTCATTACATTGCACTATGGAACTCCTCCTGGTTCTTTATGAAGAGTGAGGTGAAATATCACACAACTGAGCTACAGAGAAAACAGCAAGCTGTTCCAAGTGCATAAGCCAAAATGAGCATTCAGAGAGAGATCACCCTGCATGAGCTCATGCTGACAATATGTTTTTTTCTATGGATGTAAACTGAGATTTGAACCCGAGAGAGACTCCATATTCAGCCTTACAGAAACATTTTTGTGCATGTTGTTTTCTTTAGAAAAAGCGAGGAAGTTATGAACTACTCCCAGACCTAGAAAAATACCTACAGCCACAGCAAGTTCGATGGCCTCCTCCCCTTCCCTCCCCACCATGCAGCAATAAACTGAAGATGGAGCCAGAGAGAAAGCATGCATGTTTTACTGAAGGCACAATGTCATTTTGGCCTTGATGTAGGTTTGTGGCAGGCAGAGGAATATGGTGGTCAGGGCTGGTAAGCTGAAAGGCAGAGTCCCTACGTGAGATAGGCATGATATGGAGCCTGATGTCCCTGCCTCTGTGTGGCAGTGGGAGCCCATCTGTATCATCCCAGCAGCAGCTCTTCCCAGGCAGAGTGGGGGCTGTGGGGTAGCTGTGACATTCCTGAGAGAGGTCCTCTCCTAGAGACCAGCCCAGAGGCTGGTAGATATGGTCCTTCCCCAGTTTATGTGAAAGGAAAATAATGCTCTGGGCAAAGCCCAAAGTCAGCAAAGTGCCCAGTTTCTCTGTTCTCTGAATTTTCAGTCAAGTAAGTATTGTTCTGTAGAGGAACAATATCATTTGAATTCAATAGGATATTTTATGCCCTTCTCAGTGCTGGTTTGTTTTTACTAGATGTGAGCAACACTGGGATTTTTGGTATAAACTGACCCTTCTAGGCAGTCACACCTCCCTTTGCCTGAGGACTACTCCCAGCAGAGTGTGATCTGTTGCACATCCTATTGTAGACCTAAACACTTCACAATTCCTTTCAAGAGTGTCATATCATTCTTATTTGTAAAGTCTAAAAAGCATAGTAATAATTCTTTTCCTGGGTGACCTAAAAATGGCTAGTAACTTTTGTTAGGAAAAAAAGTATTTAAAAATAGATGCACTCTTCTAATCCTCAAAGTGCTGGCACCCCGTTTTAGAGTATGACTGTGGCTGGAGGGCATCGTGGCACTGGGAGAGGCCATGCCAGCTGTGCTATACCCAAAAC